ACTGCAACCAACCAACTTGAATTCTACTAAGAACATCCCCATTTATATCACCATCACTTTGAACAATAAATCCGAGATAACTAAAATGTTCACATATTTTAATAATTTGATCACACATAGTTACAATTGTCACTAGAGTTACTACTATGAAAATTACATTTCAGGTATTCAGTTTTAGTTCTACTCAAACGAATGTCTTTAGATTCCAATGTAGACATCCATAATTTAAGTTTTTTCTTGAGCTTATTCTCTAGTCTTATCCACAAGAAGGATATCATCAGCGAAGAAGCATACACCAAGGTACATCCTCCTGTAAAAGTCCAATAAGAGCATCCATAATTAAAGTAAAATATGAGCTTAAAGCCGATCTTTGATGTAATCCAACTGAAATAGGAAAATGTTTGGTCAATCCTCCTTTCGAACACAAGTAACACCAATAGTATTACATATCTTTAATGACTTGAATATGTCATATCAACACATTTCTTCTTTAAAACTCTCCCGAGGATATCTCTTGGAATTTGATTGCAAGCTTTTTCTAAATCAATAATAATCATATTGAAACCTCCTTATTCTCTTTATATTTCTCCATCAAACCTCTCAATAAATGTATAGTTTCCATAGTAGACCAACCCGACATAAATCCAAACTGATTAAGAGAAATCATTGTAATACATCTTAACCTATGTTTAATTACCCTCCCATAATTTAAAATATGACATATCAACCTAATTCCTTTATAATTTTGACACTATAATGCATCCCTTTTACTCTTGAAAATGGGGACCACAATACTCTTCCTCCACTTCTCAGACATCTTTTTAGTTTTTAAAATAATATTAAAGAGTTTAGTAAGCCAAGAAACTCTCAAACCTCATAAATATTACTCTTCCTCCACTCCTCAGACATCTTTTTAGCTTTTAAAATAATATTAAAAAGTAAGTCAAGAAACTCTCAAACCTTCTAAATATTTTCACACTTGAATTGAGATATCATCAAGTCCTACAGACTTTTCACCCTTGGTTTTCTTTAAAGGCATCATCAACTTCTTTTTTACTAATGCGACAGTAAAAATGCAATATTTTATTATTATTAACAATATTAAGATCGCTAAAGTTGATTATATTTTTAAAGATTTCATTGAAAAGTTTATTAAAATAACTCACACACCTATGTTGAATACCTTTTTCTAAGAGAAACACTTTTTTTTTATTTTCATATTTAATACACTTTACTTGAGTTAAATCTTTATTTTTATTTTCTATTTATTTGGCTAGTTTATACATATATTTTTCATTCTCTTTGGCATCTAATCTAGTGTAAATGTCACTAAAAGCGGAAGTTTTAGCGTCACAAATTGATCTCTTAGACTCCCTACGGGCTATTTTATATTTTTCCCAAATCTCTAATCTTTTACATTTAAAACATCTTTTATAGCATAATTTCTTATATTTTATCTTTTCTTGCACATTATTATTCCACCACCAAATATTTTTATTTATAGAGACTTCTCCTTTTGATTCTCCACTAATTTGGTCAATATTATTCCACCACCAATTTGGTTGGTTATAGAGATACACACATATAAATTGAAAGTAATGTGTTCTGGAGCATGCTAGCAGATGATATGATTTTAATTGGTGGGATATTTAATAAAACATGCTTAAAAGTTAGAACAATAGCAAAAAATGCATAGAAGATCAAGAGCTTAAAATTTGCAGAACCATAGCGAAGTATATGATAAGCAATTTTATTATATTTGATATTAAACATTCTTAGTCAATATTATTAGCACAATGAAGAGATAAATGAATATGTAAGTATGTAACTAAAAATAGTTAAGGCCGGATGATTCCAATAAAGAAATGTCTGGTATGGATCAAGAGCACAATGGGGAGACTGAAGATCAAGAGCTTAAAATTAGCAGAACAATAGTGAAGTATATGATAAGCAATTTTATTGTATTTAATATTAACCACCTTTGGTCAATATATTAGCACAATGTAGAGATAAATGAAGAAATAACTTAAAGAGTAAAGGCTGAATGATTACAATAAAGAAATGCCTTGGGAGAATTATGCATATATAATTAAGGATTAGATAAATTTTAAAAAGTTTAGTGATGTTGTATGGAACAAGTATTAGAAAATAAAATATTATTGATAGTCGAGCATCGCAAAAATGATGATGCTAAAATAGATGTTTCGCAAAACTAGAAGGATAAATTAAAAAGTAATTATATTATAGAAACCGTTAAAATTACATTCATTAGAGATAGGAAAAAGTAAGAAATTAAGCCAACCTGATAAGTAAATAAAATAAATGACAAAAGTTTCAAGATGGGGAAGAATACCGTGATATGGATAAAATTATTTAAAAGAAGTTTATGAATAATAGATTTAACATCTCAAGCAACACTTTGTAGAAATGAATAGAAAATAAAGATTAATAAAGGAGCAGTTTGGTGCTCATAAAAGAAATGCAGAGTAAGCTAGAATAAAGTGAATTCTGATTGCAGTGTATTTTAAATATTCAAGATTTCTAAGTTGTCTGTAAAATAATTGTTGGAGAATTAATTTTTTTTTGTTTGGTTAATGTGTATTCAGAGTTAACTAAAATAATGTATTCAAAATATTTTACGACTGTTTGGTTGTCAAAATATTTTACCACTGTTTGGTTGTCGACAAAATAAATATAGAGAAGTTATTTTTGATGTATACTTAAAAGCTTTGAATAAAATAGTGGTGAACTAATAATCTATATGTTATATTGGTTTTAAAATAAATTCAAAATTATATCATGGTTAAAATCTCATTTCATTTGCGGCATTAATTAATATATCTTCATCTCTAATATAATATATAGTTATTAATTAAAAAATTCAAAATAATTAATTTTGATCAAAGTTTAAAATGCCCTCAAAAACACTTTCTTCCCCAAATTTTTTAAAAACAAATTCATTAAAACCATTTAGAACATCAATTTATACAGGCTAAAAAAAAATTCATCCGATTAACAGTCCTAATCATAAGATTAATAGTACATTGTCTGATTGTGTATATATTAATATTTATTCTAATATATTTAATATACGATGAAATCATCATAAAATTTAAGAAAATAATAATAATACTTAATTTACATGATGGAATGTGGAGTGAATGATCTAGATTGACTTTTCACACATAGAAAAGTATTAAAGAAAATGGCAACAACAAGCCCTAAAATAAAAATAGTTAAAAATGCCTGAAATTATCAAATATTTACTCAAGAAAATAGGTTAAAGCAGAGGCCGAATTCTTCAGGATGAAAAATGACTTCCGGGAAAGCTACATGCAAGCCAAAAGAAATAAATGCAAATCAATTATGCCTCCTAAATGAAAACAACCATTTACAACATAACCCAAAAACCTAATCTAGCTCCATCCAATTCCATGACCACAAAAATTTAATCGAAGATGCCTTTAATCCCCTCAAAACAACAAATCATGTAATCAAATATGTAATCAACATAAGAAAAATGAAAAGAAAAGAAAGAGCAGAAACAAGCCCCAATTTACATTTCCTACCAAAAGGCATAAGCTAGTGTTTTCTGTCAAGACAAGTGTCGGCATCCCCTGTTCTCCCTCTTACAGTTGTATTTGAAGATGAGTGTTGCCCCGACTGTATTCTGCTCTGAGGTGGTGATTATCCTCAACTTGTCCATTCTCTGCAACCTGCCTTTACTACTATGCTTCGCATGCTCCTTCCTATTGGCCGGCACAAATCTTCATACCTACCAGGGGCTGCCATCATGTCCTCCCACCGTCACTACTGACTGTTGCAACCCCCAACTCCTACTTCCAACTACTTGTTGTCAGCCTAACCCATCGACCTACTCGCTAATCCCACATCCCACGAGCCACCCTGTTGGATGCAACCTTTCCCTTATCTCGCTGCCTACTGTTCAGTACCTATAGAAGCCCTCTTCTGCTGGTTGTCACCATCCACCAGCTTGCTTCCGCCCCACTCTCGCTGTCCACCACCTCGACCACAGCCCACCCTTATTTGTACTTACCCTAAGGTGTCTTTTATGTTTGTATTTTTAATTTCCTACTGTCAAGCGTCTTTGTTTGTAACCCTTTTGAATTTCAGCAATAGTATTTACATTTCTATTCTGGCTGTGGTTAAATCTGGTATCATCCAGATCTTCCTCTTGTAGTGTATAATGCCACCATGGTTTTAGGCAACTAAATTTAAAAGAAAAAAACTCAACACAATCTAAACTTTAAAATACTGCTATTCACCTAATTAAATGCACTATAAAGTGCCCCTCATGGCTCCCCCCTCAAATAGCGCAAGTCTCTTTCTCCCACCATGATGCATAAGGCTCAAGGCATTTCTCATGTGTTTCACCTTGAGAAACACCTCAAATTACATAATTGTAAACAGCGCTTTCATGTGTTGTACATGTCAAAAGTCATAGTGGAAAAAACAACAGAAGTTATTATAACCTTAGTGATATCAAAAATTGGGACGCAGAATATAGAAGTATGCCAACAACTAAATTAATCATGAAGCGTTTTTAAGTTCGCTAAAATCCTTGCCAAAGAAGATAAATGGCCCATTCACAAATAAAAATAATAATAATTGAATAAAGAAATTTAATAAACGTACATCGTCAAATGCAGTTATATACTTAGTTCAGCATTCAGACATAAATGGTTTACTAATCAATAAAACAAAGGGGCATTTACATGCATAGCACACAATTCTTATGTTTTTACTTATCTCACACCTAAAATTTCACGTTTACACACATAACACTCAAATCATTAATATCACATAAAACATTACGCTATTATCACTTTGTAAATGTCAAATACACATTTTCATGCATAAGTTTAAAGCGTCAAAATGCTAAGTATATAAATATGAAAGTTTAGGTGTAAGATATATAAATACATAAGAACTGCGTGCTACATATGTAAATTTCCATCAAACAAAATCTTGAAACTAACCTTGAAAGACAATATGCAAAAGCCAGCACAGTAGATAAAGATTTTACAAAGCTCAATAGCCGTTGCTTCACAGCTTGGCTCGTTTCTGATGACAAAACTATAGGATCCAATGTCCTATTAAACACAAAAGTGAAAAATGTTCTCTGAAAAACCACAAAATGATAGTACTTTATTGCAAATAAGCTTCTGATAAATTTTTTAACATACCTGCAGAAAAGTGTCGCTCCAGTCCACAAAAGAATTGGCTGAAGATATGAAGTAAGGACGAAACGTGTTCTGCTCTTTTTCCAATTATTGTCATTCTGCAGGATAACAGTAGTCATCAGCTGCTTCCAAGACGAAACTTCATGGACAAATTAAGTTAGGGGCATTCACATACATACCACATAATTATAATGCATTTACATGTCTGGCACCTAAAAATTCATATTTACATGCATACCACTCAAATCTTTAACATCGAATTAAAATTACCATCATCGTTATCCTTTTAAAAGTGAAATACACATTTTCATGCATAGATTTATAAAACAAAAGCGTTATAAGTGTAAATATGAAACATTGGATGTTAGATATGTAAATATATAAGAATTGTGTGGTATGTAAATTTCCCATCAAGATGAAGTTCCTCAAACTAGAAGAAGATATGTTGCATAACGCACATACACGAAAGAGAGTCCTTCCATAACGCATGGCTGGCCCAAGTCCCCATACAGCAAACACAATGATTCCAACTGCTGGAGCTAATCTGAGCAGAAGAGGACTTTTAAGAAGGGCTTTATATGACCTGTAAAGAAAGAAATTATAACTTAGTTTGACAGGGTATTTTGAAAAAAAAGAAAACAAGTAAAGGTTGTCAACTTGAAATACTCGTATACTTTTATTAGAAGCTGAGAGAGAGCAAGAAATTGCAACCAAATAAGTATCTTAGGCTATCTGATAGGGAAAGTGCCTATATAAACTCCCAAAGTAAGATAAACATAACTTTAGTTGAAGTACCAAGTGCAAGCATCTGTGGAATTCTTAGATTAAATAAAAAAAAAGGTGGTCTGCTCTTCAGTCAAGACGGTGCCATTAAGGTACCAACCAAAATAAAGAATTTATCACAAGTCTATAGCGCATAACAGCTCCCTATCAAATCTTAACTTCAACAAGGCAAAATGAAATAAATAAATTCAACAAACCAAATAGCTCGGCAAATTGGAGAATGAAAAAAAAAATCATTAAAATGCAGTAGAAACAAATATGCTATAAAGATACAAATTTGAGTGGGAAAATGTCATTAATAGCTAAATTAAGTGCAGCATAAATGAGAAAATTAAGATGTATGTGCAATGGAAATAGGAAGGATAAAGAGAAACAAATTTATATGGTTGGGAAGACAAAAAATTCAGCATGTACAATAAAGTGTAGAAGGTGCACCAACCATTTCAGCATGCACAATAAAAAGCACCAATAAGGCAAACAAAAAAAATGATGTGGAAGGATTTGCATAGAAGATAGATGGACTAAACATAACATGGCTAGAAATCGTGGAAAAAAAAAATTGCACAAAATAGAGTTAGCGCATCATATAACACTTTTAAGGATGACAAATCCACTAATCTCAAGCTAAAAGGGTTATTAGATTTCAACCCAACACAAGGAAGAAGTGTCAAATTAGAGGGTTTTCAAGCCACCAATGGAACTCAAAATGTTCATAATCTTAAAATCTATTTAATTTTCATTCCATTCAACTATATAAGGAAAATAAAATATAATAAAAGCAAAATCAAACTTTATAAATCTAACCAAATTAAAAAACCTAGTATTATAAACAAAATAAATAAAATCAGAGGTACAAAAAACTTAGAAAGTGCCTATTGAGAGCATACTGCATTGGATTATATCATCTCAAATAAAAGCTGAGAAGATGTTGCATTGCAAAGTGTCATCTCATCTTAAAAATCTACAAGCAGTTCCACAGCAGATTCATGATCGAAACCGCTTCAATAACCAAGAAAAAAAAAATGTAATACTTCATCAACCATTCTTTTTCATCACTACTTTAACCAACAAATTCAAGAAAGTTATATTTTTTAAATGTAAATATCACAAAAGCACATAGCAAGGTGCACAATTTCGTAAAAATTCAAAGGAAGAGCCTAATGTAGATTTAGTAGGTCATAATTCCAACTCTCCACAGTCCATACTTTTTTCAACTAAATATAAAATCAAACTTGAAAAAACTAGAAATTATAAAGAATTTAATAATTATTGGAGATAAGTCCTAAATAAAGAATTAATGAAATAAATATTATGCGCACTTCAAGCCTACCCCAAATTTCCTATTTGATTATATGCACACTATGTGATATTTTACTAACAATTTACGCAGCATCTATTTATTAAATTGCACATAAATTCTCAAAAGTGATTCCAATTTGGTTATAAAAAAGTATTCATGTAATTCCATCTGTTTCTCACTGCTTTAAAGTTGTTCGATCCATATATTTATATGTTGAAATAATTCTGAATCTGTGAGCAGCATCTTTCAATCGACGGTAATCAGTAGACAACAATTTTCCATCTATAATAAAGCAGTCCTCGGACAATAGTTTTTCTTCTACAACAATCCAATAAGTTGATGACAACAACATTCCATTAAAGGGAAATCTCATAAAGAAGTAAAAAATAATTCATGTTGTTTCCTTTCAGTTTTTCATTTCTTTTGTACAGTTAATTCCAAATTTCAAACTTATATGCTACTTTTTCATTTGCATGTTTCCTAGATAATAATTTCCCCATCTATATAGTTTCTTATCTTCTTTTTAACAAAAAACAAGGGAATAAAATCTAGTCATAAAATCTCTAATTTTCTATTCCCCTTTGTTTTCACTCTGATTTTCAATATTAAATAAATTATTCAATTTGTGGAAGTCTCATTTACCTATGTTTGCGAGCAATTACCACATACCACATTCTTTTAAAATGATTCTTAAATTTTAAAACTTATATTCACCAAACAACTAATATTTTCTCCAAAGCAACTTTGCTTGACATTTCTGTGGAAAATTTTTCTTCCAGACAACTTCAACCAATCAAGGGAAGAATTTCTTATACACCTACGTTTATAACTACGTCGAAACAATGTTGGCAGCGCAATTAGAAAAAAAAAAAGACTCACTAAATTACAGCAATGTCTAAATTTAACATTATCAAAACTTGTATCTTTGACATTATTAACTGTGAAATATTTGGAAATATTATTATGGTTCTAGTGCAAGAATTTGGTATCCTTTATATATTTTTCTTTTATTTGCTGATTCAAAATTATTAAAATATTTAGTTTATTCATCCTTAAAAACATAGGTCTTACTGTGGAGAGTAGAATTTATGCATATTTGAAGTATACAATGCAAAATTTGTATGCCACTAGACATTCTTAGAAGACTGTTTCCCTTAAACTTTTATCTCATGAGCATCGAACAGAATACCGACTTCCAGAAGCACAAGATTATTGGTAGAACTTGAAATACCATAAGAATGACAAGGATAATGAATTGAAAATGATAAACATCAAAACGGTTTAATTCAAAACTACCAATCTGCAGTATATACAACTTTATTATCATTTGTTGTACAAGTACAAGTATATTAATTGTTGTGAGCTACAAAAACATGATTATGTATCTAAATGCAATTATTTAATTCTATTTGGGTAAATTGAGACAGTTTATCAACAACAGACATGCTTATTTTATATGATAGATCAAAGAAATACCTAGTCAAAGCAAAGGTAGTTGATTTCAGAAGAGGGATATCCGGCGAGGAAGTTGGAATGAAAATAGATCGAACAATGCAGCAATTGTATCTATATGGTACATGGTACTTTCTCATGTATATGCTGCCTGAAACATGAAGACCCCAAACATCCCGTCGCTGCACTCAAAAGGAACAAATAACTCAAACTTCATACCTTAAAAAATAAAGGGGCATTTACATGCATACCACCAAATTCCTATGCACTTACTTACACATCTAACACCTAAGTTTTCTTTTGTTTTGTTTTTTTTTTCTTTGGGTTACATTAATACTACCCAAATCTTTCCTATTATACAAAAAAAAAATCACTATTTTAACTTTTAAAAAGTGAAATACACCTTTTCATGCATAGATAAGGTGGCATATATGTAAAGATTGAAGTTTGCATGTTATATATGTAATTACATAGGAATTGAGTGGTATGTATGTAAATCTTCCAAAAATAAATTAGATAATTAAAAAATGAGAAGAGTATGATGTAACATGAAGCATGAAGATTGTTTTACAAGATAAAATTCTGGAAAAAATTAAATTACAAATATTTCAATTTAAGATATAATCCGTCTCCTTCCTCCAATAAACGTGCACCATACACACACTACTAGTTGGTGATTGGAACCTTTAGGAAAAATGTATTACAATCTTTTAGAGAATTTTCTTCTTGGATACAAATGAAAAGTAAATTCTAGGATCGATAAAAATGGCAATTAAAAAGTTTGCAACTAATTGTAGTAAAAGGTCAAACATAAAGTATAAACAAATGAGAGTTCTAAAGAAAGCGCTGGGAATATAACATGAACTTAAGTTCTTCTAATTTAAATTCTATGAAGCATTTCACATGAAGTTCTTCAGTGAACTAAAGTCATTAATCTAACCCAAGTCAAAAATCGCTCGATGATAAGATTGATTCTAGCTTGGACTAGCTTGAATGGAAATCAACAAGTTAAAACCGTGCATGATTCAAGAATAATGCAAATCAAGTATGTCACAAGCTTGGATGAAATTGATATTTTACAAGATAGAATCAAAATTGAAATCAAGCATGTCACAAGTGTGAGTACTAGTATGCATATTTCATCCACAAATTTAAAATCGTAATCATGAATTTATTAATGCCTGAGTTCATAATCTGTAGCATTTATGTTATTCGTACGAATGCATGAGTTTGTTCTAGAGGATCAAGAATCAAATCAAATTCTCTCAAATTGATTCACAAAACAACGAGTTAGATAGGTCAAACCGGAAACATATCTACGCAACCAATGGTTAGGCTTGGCTCGACTCAGGCAGATATAATGACTTTGAATCGATCATGTACCAATGCCAACATAGCTCTAGATTGTCAAAATCCCAAGTAGAACAATAAACAATATTTGGTGAAACCTCTGAAGATCAAAATGCTTAATGAATCCTAATTAGTGAAGAATATGGGAAACCAAAAAATTGTGCCTAATCTGCCCAAAATATGATTTAAAAAGCAAGACAGATGTAATGTTAAGATATTGTTTTCAACAACAACAACAACAACAACAAAGACTTAATCCCACTACGTGGGGTCGGCTACATGAATCCCTTTTCTCCATTGCATCCTATTTAGTGTCATATTTTCATTTAGTTCTAATAAATTAAGATCATTTTTTTATACAATAAGCCCAAGTCTTCCTAAGTCTACCTCTGCCTTTCTTAACATAACTCGGATCTAAAACATCTACTCTCCTAATCGGATCATCAGATGGTCGACGTTTAATGTGACCAAACCATCTAAGACGACTAGTTCTAATAAATTAAGATTATTTTTTATACAATAAGCCCAAGTCTTCCTAAGTCTACCTCTGCCTTTCTTAACATAACTCGGATCTAAAACATCTACTCTCCTAATCGGATCATCAGATGGTCGACGTTTAATGTGACCAAACCATCTAAGACGACTAGTTCTAATAAATTAAGATTATTTTTTATACAATAAGCCCAAGTCTTCCTAAGTCTACCTCTGCCTTTCTTAACATAACTCGGATCTAAAACATCTACTCGCCTAATCGGAACATCAGATGCTCGACGTTTAATGTGACCAAACCATCTAAGACGACTCTCTCTAAGATATTGTTTTCAATTAAAAAAAAAATATCAACAAATAAAAGATGTAAAGCATACTGATTTTCTTCTTGTAATTTAAACCTTTATCATTAATCCCACATATGACATTTTTGGGACATGTGGAATCTTAACAGTTCAGCCGAGTGTCCATAAGATAATATAGTGATCAGCTTCAGGTTCATAGAGTTGACTATTAGGTTGAACAAGAATATCCCATCATCAGCATCTTCTGTCTTCCAGTAACTACAACCTCAAATTTACAATGGAAGATTTACATACATACAGACCACTTAATTCCCGATTTACATACATACTATTCAATTCCTATGTATTTACATAACTAACACCTAAACTTCAATTTTTACATATATGACACCTTATCTATGCATGAAAAGTTATATTTCACTTTCTAAAAGTTAAAAGTAGTGATATTTTTTTGTGTGATGTGAAAGGTTTGGATGGGATTAATCTAACAAAAGTAAAGTTTACGTTTTGGATATGTAAATACAAAAGACTTGGGTGGTATGTAAATGTCCCATATTAACGATGTAGAAACACCATGACATGAAAGATGGTACAGAAAATAAACAAGAATGTGAAAGAACAGTACCGAAAAGCATGAAGATAGGGAACATCCCTGCAAATGATGCGATCTCTTTATCTCTGAGATCTGAAAATTAAAAACACAGTCAAACTCAATAAAATCAATTCCAAACGAAAAGAGAAAACCATGAAATTACTATTACCCTGGACGGTTTAGCCCATACACGACTATTGATGACACCAAGATCGTATGTGAGCTGCAACGACCCTCCCACAGCCATTGCTAACCTAAATCTATAATCAAACTGTCAATCAGGCAATGCTCTTGCCAACTACTACAGCTTCCACTAAATTACAACCAGTTTCAAAACAATTGCTCCGGAAATTATATACATACAACAGGCGCCCCGCCCCTCGACCTGAAACAGTAAACCGCCATTGTTATTCAACAGAATAGATAACCCGCTTTGTAATTCCAGAGTATACCAGAAGGAAACCAAAATTACTCAGAAGCTATCGATTGAATTAAATCAACACAGGAAAAATAACTAGAAACTATAAATCACCAAAACATCGAAACCTAGACGAATAATGAAAGCTGGAAACTGCTTTCTTGCACGCATTAACAATTTGCTGGGACTCCAGATCACGATGCATAGCAAAGGAAAAGTCAAAGAAGAAGAAGCTAACCCTTTCACCGAAGAACCGGTCGACGCCCTTAAGGGGCAAATCGGTGAGGAGGGCTCTCTCCGTTCTCCGGCGACAAGAGGCCGAGGAGTGGGAGAAAGTAGCGGGAGAGGGAAAGGAATCGGCACCCCGACGAGGTAAAAGGCATTACGACGGAAACTATTTGGCTGTACCGTGTTTAGGGCGATTCAGGGGATTGTCGGGAGCAGCTTGCAAAAGATGGCATTTTTTTTCCGCGGCCCTTATTGTTTGTTTAAAAAATGCCACGGATTACACGTAATGAAATGGGGAAATTACATAGATGCCACGGAAATCTTAGGGATTTTTTATTTTAAAAAATAAAAAAATAAAATTAGTGTTTGTTTAAATATTTTTTTTTTATTTTTACAAATAACATATCTATTTTTAAAATAGTGTTTTACTATTTTAAAACACCTCAAAGAGGCCCCTATTTAAACACATATTATAAATAAATCGTGAAAAATGCAAGCCGTCGACCACCAGCCAAGACCCCCACCTGAATTACCTGGCGTCACCGCCGCCCGCCCCAAGTTGGTAGCCTCCCGTCGCCCACCCCTGCGATAGCCGAGCCGTCGCTTGCCGCCCGCAGTCACCCAGTTGTAGCCCACCACCACCACCTTCGCTCGATGTCATCGCCGCCTGTCAACCCATTACCTATCATCCCCACTGCCCTTCGCCTACCACTCACCATCTTCTGCCACCCACACAGGTAATGATTTGTGTTGGGTACAACAAAGAAAATGTAATGCACACAATGGACTCGCGGAGCTTAATGCTAGAGTGCCACGCGGACTCAACCGTTTAATAAAAATATATACTTTTCTTTATTAAAAAAAAAAAGCTAACCAAATATTTTTTTTTTCTTAAAATAAAACAAAAACAAAAGCCAAAAGTAATCCCATATGGGAAACCAAAACTTGATATTTATATATATAACGTGAAAGTGATATAAATGAATATAATTATATATATATATATATATATATATCACTATTAAAAATATAGTGATAGATGTAATCTATGTTTAATGGTATGGATGTGAATATAAAAGTTATGGTATAATATTTTTAAATATATAAAAATTATGTGGTATGTATTTAAATGCCCAAAATTATTTAAAAATTTATGCATTTTATTATTAATAAATTATGAATCGAACAAATTAAATTTTATAGAATGAAAGAGTCCAATTAGCTGATAAAATAATTATAATTTCAAAACAAATAAAGTTTATAATGATTTAAAAATAGATGCATATAGATTAATAAAATATAATATATTTTGTGGGATTGATTATACATCCCTAAAAAATAATGTTGATCCGCACGAATCTCAATGTACATTTGAGTTGCTAAAAAAATGAAAATACTCAAGCTCCAATTTATTATCAAATGAAGTGTCTCAGCAAGACAGACAAAATGACATAAAAATGATAAAATTTGAGTACAAGTGTGTCCCGATCATACACTTAATAAATTATTATAATGAGCTTTGAAATAATTTTAGGGGACTGAATAAACTTCAAATCTGACAAATTTATAATCAATTTGAGTGTCTTGACAATATGAATCCAATGAGTCTAAACTCACTTAATTCTAACATTGTTAAGATATTCAAATACTCATAAAACTACATATGATCAAATAAATTAGTTTAGATCGTCCGATGAAATGATTCATATTCATGCAATATTTATGAAGGATGTTACTCCCAAAATTTACAAATAAACCACACTCTTTTTATTAGGGGGAGCTCAACTTGGAGGAGAAGATTGAAGGAGCTCTTGAGGATTCTCGAGCTCTACCATCACTGAACCATTGATGTTATGTTGCTACCATTGACAAACCATCTTCTCTACCACCAAACCAACATCATCTAGCCACCAACACATTAGAACTGTTGTTGTTCTTGTTTGGTCACCTCCTTATGATCGCCTCCACCACCGAACCACTGTTACTCGCCCACCACTGGACCATTGCTGCCCGAACCCACCATCATCGCCGCCACCGTTAGACCTCTGTTGTCTGCCCACCACCGTCATCGCAATGAACCACTGTTGTCAGGTTGCCACTACCAACAATGTTGGAATTTGATTTTATGGCACACTACATTTACTATCAATTTTTCTTATAGCAGTCGGGTCGTTACGATTTTCACAACATATTCTGCCACTCTCCTGAAAGAAGTCGCGTCGCCACTCGTGTAATATTACTTTTGACTATTCAAGTGCCAGTAAAGTCCTGTAACCCACATTTGCATGACTGAATCGGTTTATATGGGCTAGGCCCCGTAATTTATTTATAATGATATCATATTACCCTACATCCCCAACATAAAAAAGCTAGTGTCCACTCTATCATATCCTCATTTATATATGTGTGCAGAAACTTTATATAATACTATGACATTAATATATCACTCACTACCACAAATTTATCCCCACACAATAATTATGATTTACACAATAACGTTGTCTTTATAATTTAATATATTAATTCTATATCACTATTCAATGAAAAACTATATATAAGAGACATTCAATTGTTTATATAAAAAAAGTAAAAGAGAAAGCATCATGAGGCCTAATTCAATTGAAAAATTATAGAAGTTTACTCCTCTCCAATTGAAGATGAATGAATTACACAAGCACAAAATTATTATCTTACAATTATAGTAGAAATTATCGAAATAATGAATGATGATGATGGCCAAACAATAATCATTATATGATAATGTCAAACAATTTCAGACACGTAATAACGATTCAAGTGAAAGTTCGGGCGAAAGTTAAATATTGACATTCATTGATAACAATCGTCATGCAACAACAATTGGTTAATAGTGATCAAATGATGAGAATCATTAGATTAATGGTACTAATCATAAAAGTAAACTTAAAAAATTTTCTTTATCCATGAATATCTCTAGCTTTTAATTAATATATTTTTTAATAATAAAACTCTATTTATAATTTTTTAAAAGGATATTTTAATGAGTTATGAAAATCCTAGAACACTCAGTCGAAAGAATTACGGTAGAGTTCAATAAATGACCTAAAGCTATGTGTTGCACAATCTACCGGACAGATTTGGATTAAACACTTTTGTATTTATATTTCTATCTAAACCCCACTTTTTACATTTTATGCCAACCAAATATTTCATATCAAATAAAAAATATCACTATTTTAACTTAAAAAGTGAAATACACATTTTTATGCATTGATAAACTGACAAACATAAAAATTAAAACTTCAGTGCGTAAATGCATAGGAATTCATTGGTATGTATGTAAATCTTTTTTATTTTTCTGTATGTATATATATATATATATATATATATATATATATATATCACACCTTGCTGGTTTAAACATATCCATGAAAATGTGAATTAGACTTTTAAAAATGCTATTTTTTATGTGATATAAAAAAAATGAGTGATTTGGATGTAAATAACTAAATATGAAAGTTTATGTGTGAGATAATGTAAATGCTAGAGAGAGGGAGAGAGAGAGCAGGTTCTGCAACTTTCCTCTGTCGTTAAGCCTCCAAAAATCCTTTCTCGTCCAGATATAATATCACTTGTTTGGCCATTGATACAGGCGACGGACAAACCCCAGCAATTGGTGCTATCGATATCTGGAAACAATTCAGGCACATAAAATAAGTTGGGGGTAATTTATTTATGATATTTATGTATGTAAATGTCTAATAATCTAGTTGCATTAATTTTTTAAAGTTAATAATATTATATATAGAAAAGTGCCAAAATAAGAGCCCAACACTTTGTTGGGAGACATTTTATTATTTTAGTTCCAGTATATAAAAATGGACTAAAAGAGTTCCAACAAGAAATTATTTTAGCCCTTATTAAGTCTAGGGTTGTAAACGAGTAGGGCTTGAAGGAGCTTAAGCTTGACTCATGTTCGGCTCATTTAAATTAATTATGTTCGAAATTACAAGTGGAAGTATGTGTTCATGTTCAACTCGATTTATGTATTCATGGTTGTGTTCGACCTGAAATTGGCTCGTTTAAAATAATTAGAAAAATAGAGGTGGGTTGGTGAATTTGAACATGCACCATTCATATGCAACAAAAGTGTAGAATCACATAACCACAAGAGTTGTGATGATTTAAACTTAGATATTATACATCAAGAATGTGCCAGCACGAATCCCAAGAAAATTCAGTGATCCCGAATGAAGAAAGTACAACAAAGTGATCCAAAATGAAAGAAGTACAACAAAAAAGAGCTCACCAATAGAAGACCAAGAGGTCCCACTTGAATGCAACCATCTGAGCCAAGGATAAATGTCAACCAAACTAGGAAAAGGACAAAAAGACCGATCCAAGCCTGCACCTATCAGACAAACAAACAGATCAACACCAAGGGAAAGTCGAGCGAAGGTATCAACCTACTTTTAAGTAGATATGACCAGAGAAAAAAGTTTGGTTTCTCGCCATCACCAGAAGTCTCATGGACTCTCCTGTGGTTTCTCCTCAAGGACTAAGAATTGGTCATAGAACAGAGCCTCACAATCATCCTGAAGAACCACTCGTCAAGGAATGAACTGTCTATCGAGTTATGGTGATCCATCATCTGATAGATGACCCGGTCTCATTCTGCTGACAAGAAGTCCTCGTCTAGAGATCGAGTATTGACAGTCAGACCAGACCAACCGCTCAGCCAATTTTAGCCGACCGAGTCAGTCCTACCGACCCAAAGCCAATTGAATCAAACAAATCAAATAGGCATTATCGAGCCAAATTCATGATAGCCCAACTAACCTAGTCATAGAGTAGCTGAGCAATAGGCTCATAGATGTAAAATACATAAAATATCCTATAACAACCTTATTAAAGAAGTTGCAGAAATGTAATATCATGTATTGAACACCCTCCCCTACGAATGGGGAGTTTTTTTATAAGAAAAGACTAATCGACAAGTTGTTTTACTGTTTATTCTCTATGTCTCTCTTCTTTCACGCTCTTAACCCTTGGAGTGTGATTCACAAACAAATCAAAATTCAACAGATATAAACAATATTATATGTTATTATATAAATAATATACATAATTTTTTTTTTATTTCAAGCTAAAACAAGTCGAGCACGATCAAACAAAAATTGTTTATGTACGAATCGTTTATAATTCAAGCTTAAGAAATTTGTTCGTATTCAACTCGCTTACTTAAAAAATGGTTTGAACACGACTTACTTAACGAGTCTAAAACAAGCTATTTGCAAATAAGAAGTTTTTTTTTGACAGCTCTAATTAAAAGTGTTTGAGGATAACTTGATATTTTTATAAACTCTAGCAATGCAAATAGCCAAAGGATTATTTCGACAATTTATTCGATGTAGTCCTAATAAAGATATAAGGCAGAAGAACAATAACACACCTCAGAATTCAAAGGTGACTCATAAGGATCATCAATCCCTGTAAATCCTGCAGGGTTAAGTAGCAGTTTATTAGCACTAAGTTCAACAAAAGAAAAACTCCAGAAAAGTTGGGTCTGGTAAGTTTGTGCCTTCTAAGCAAAGAAACACCATAGGAAAAATAAACAGGAACGGATTTGATAACTGGAGCATACCCTTTATCTTTCCAGAACGTGCTAACTTGTATAAACCCTTTGCATCCCTTGCTTCACAAATTTCCAAAGGCGTGTCCATGAAAACCTGTAGTAAATGTTAATTTGCCAAATTTTGTTACTGTAGGCTGCATATAAACCCAAAAAATAATAATAATAAAATCAAAATAAATACTTCAATGAAAGTTGAGTCTGGCATCATAGCACGACAGGCGTCACGGTCGGCCCGGTAAGGCGAAATCAAACTAGCAATGCATATTACACCAGCATCAGCAAAAAGTTTTGCTACCTCTCCTATAAAACAATAATTTGAATCTGAATTAATTCTAATTTCAGGCGTAAATCAAACTGTACTTTATAATATTTCTTTGTATGGATCATGAATAAGAACAAATAACTTCAAATGAAGCTAAACAGACAATGGAGCAGTTAGCTAGTTAGCATATAGAAATCAGCTTTAAGTTATATGTCTGCAGGTTCTAATTTTTTTTTTTTTTTTCTGCGCAGTAATTTTGCATATAAACATGAAAGGAGATAAGTGTCAAAATAGTCCTTCGAGTATTTCCAGTGGGGTCATTTTAGTCCTAATTCTATAAAAATGGCAATTTAATCAACAGATACTTTTAACATGGGCAGAAATAGTCAGCACAAAAAACTATTTCAACCATAATTTAAAATATTTGAGGATTAATTTTACATATTTATATACTCTGGGACTACAATAGCCCCATGTAAGTAAAGGAATATTTTGAAACTTAATATGAAAAAGAAAAGTGTCAAAATAGTCCCTTGTATGGAGTCATTTTAATCTCAATTCTATAAAAGTGTAAATTTAGTATGGGTTGAAATAGTCCACATGAAGAGCTATCCCAGTCTAATTTAAGGAGTTTGGAGAATAATTTGACATTTTTATAAACTCCATAACTAAATTGGCCCCATGTAAACAATCATGGACTATTTTCACACTTAATATGAAAGAAGAAAAGTATTAAATTGTCCACACAAAGAAATAGTTCAGTCCTAATTTAAAGTGTTTGGGGGACTAATTTGACACTTTTATATATCTTGGGCTAAAATAACCCCATGTAAACAATCAGAGACTATTTTGACACTTGATATGAAAGCAAGCATTAAAAAACAAAAAGGAACCCCCATAATAATACCAACTCTACGTATATTTTCAGAACGATCCTCTGCTTTGAAGCCAAGATCTTTGTTTAGTCCATGTCTGATGTTGTCCCCATCAAGCACATAAGAAAGATATCCAAGTATATGTAATTCTCGGCTGAGGGCACATGCCAAAGTGCTTTTGCCTGATCAATCAAATAAAGTTGACAAAATTATAATTGCAACAAAATTCTACCAATACAGAATAAGTAATGTTTTATTACAAATCCAAAAAATAAAATGAAGTTGTCAAATAACATGCCATCCAAGGAAATGATGCATTCAAAATCACATATAATTTTCAAGAAAATAAAAAAAGAGGCATTTACATACATATTACACAATTCTAATGTATTTACATATCTCACACCTAAACTTTCTTATTTACATGCGTAAATATGAAAGTTAATGTGCGAGATATGTAAATACATAAAAATTGTGTGCTACGTAAGTAAATTTTACCAAAAAAATAAAGAGAATCACAGGCAACGCTCATATAATAAGACAGATAAGTTTTGAGATGACTTTCAAATATAATCAGTATGAATATATAATCAAACAAAGAGAAAATTAATTGGATAGAAATATTATCATTTTTAGTGTTGATATCTCCATAAACGGTCAGTGAAATAGAGAAAATATGAGACAATTTTTAAGTTGGAAAACAACCAAATAAAATCATAGGATATTGACCAGTCAAAAAAGCTTCCAATAGCATTTCGTATGAGTAATAGACAGCCACCATTACCCAATCATGGAGTAGGTGTTGATATAATATAAGAAAGATTGAGGTGTTGTTAGTGTTCTTGTTGTTAGCTATGCAATGAGATGAAATTGATTGTGTTATTCTTCTTAAAAATGATGGTCATATAGCCTTGAGACTACAAACGATTCAACATACAAAGGTTACTAAGAGCATAGTGAGAGAATGTAAAATCCATAGAAAGTGGTTCGATCGGTCCTCGCCTAAAGTTGAAGATGGTTTATATAATATGTACTCATATAGGGGCCCATGAATAGTGTTACGCGTTTAATTGGACACATATTTTATATATAAAATTTGATTTTTGTATCTATGTTTATTTGAGTTGTGAGATACTATTTATGATTGCCACAATTTTTTTTTCAATTATTTGCTTTAAAGACGATTATACCTATGTGTCTGGATCGTACATATGACCATGTCGGCTAGTTGTATGGTCAAATAAACCACGATATAATATAATGGGCATAACACTATATAATTTTACTTCCTCGAGTTATCCGATGTCTAATTTCTGAGTGATTTTTGCTCGTGTTCCATTTAGCATAGTATTTTATAGCTATTTTTATTGTTGTTTTGTGCATTGTACTTGTGCCTGAAACTTCTAATAATTTGCTAAATTTTCATTAGCCTATTTATTTAATATTTTGATTTCCACTTCCTCGGGCAAAAAGAGAGGTAGACTACTTTTCCTAAATAATTGATTTATCTTGAAAAACTTGCTATTTCATTCAACATATATATAAGTAAATAGGTGTTACAATGTTTAACAAATTAACCCAATAAAATCCTCTAATTACACACAACTGATAACTCACAACACACCCCTCAAGATGGAAAAATATTACATCAGGACTCCGCATGCAGAGCTGCTTGCGGAGTCCAATCTCGCGCTGACACGTGGAAGGTCGAAAACGTGTGACCCAGCCCGACCAATGCGTTATAAGAGTATTTCATCGAATAGTAATATTCTCTCGCGTTATTCTGAATATTTTACACGTTATTCATGTGTTATTGTTGTGTTATTGAGGGTTTAGGAATATTCTCTCACGCATTCATGTGTTATTTAATCCGCGTTATATGAATATTCTCTGGCGTTATTCTGAATATTTTATGCATTATTCATGTGTTATTTAACGTGTTATTGATGTGTTATTCATGTGTTATTGGTGTGTTATTGGGAAAAAATTTGCGTACATAAGACGTACGCAGAGCTGCGTACGTTTGTAACCTGCAAACAAATTACAGGGAGGATTTAAGGAGATTATAATCGCATTATACCCCCTGTAACCTCCGTATAACCTACCAGTACCTTCTAGTAAGTTCCGCGCTTCTGTTTTCATATACAAGTATGTTACAGGGAGGTTATAACCTCCTTAAATCCTCCCTGTAATATGTTTACAGGTTACAGACATACGCAGCTCTGCGTACGTCTTATGTACGCAAATTTTTTTCGTGTTATTGAGAGTTTAGGACAAATTGAGCAATAAAAAAAGTCTTTGATCGACAAATTGAGCATAGAGGAAGTGAGGATGTTTAGATGGATATTGTAAAACAAGAAAAAGTCAATTAAAATGTGATTATATTAAAGACATGGTAGGAATAGCATCTATCAATGATAATATAATGAAAAAGAAAAAAGCTCAAGCTGTTTGGGCTTATATAACAAAGGATAAATTGTGAACCAATCAGACATAGATAATTTTAATACTTAAAGATTCAAAATTAAAATTAACTATTTTGATGCCAACCTGAATAGAATTGTACTAAAAATTTATGTGTCATAAGTTTAACACCTCATTCAGCGCTTAATAAGGACAAAAAAAGAATGAAATTTATACAACCAGCCAAAAAAAAATTAAGGTCAGGCTAATGAAGAAGTGAGCCATAGTCAATGTTGCGATACCAAAAATATGCGGGCAAGAAGCAAATCCCCAACCAATTACATCCTAAGATTCAGTTGGATCAAGTAAAGGATGCCATGGGCTTCGAGGTTAACTGTACTCTAATTTTTTTTCCTTATTATTATTATTTATCCTTGTCTATAGCCTTGTTTGTCTGGTGTACTGGTTTGGTAATGTAGTTTGGAACATGGTAGAATTTCTAAACACTGCTAGCTTAAAGAAGGTTGTTTCGTTAAGGTGTTCCAATTATTGCAAATGTCAGACATTTCACATCTCTCTTTTAAATAATTAGGCCTTATTTATCTATGTAAGAAATTGCTAAGCAGGCCACTATTTTTTTGCTTTTTACTTTCATTTTGTTTTATGTTTTATTTAAAACAAAATATGTTTGGGTTGCCATGTTTAGTTGTTTTTAAAAATACTCATATCAACTTTTAGATATTCTGAGTGTTTTTAAAAATAAAAAAAAATTGTAAAAAATAGACTAAATAAATATGTTTTTAAAATAAAAGCAAAAACACAAACAAAAAATAAATAGCAAAAGTGATCCCAGACAAGCCCTTAGATTATGACGTTTGAGAAAGTTTGCTTAATTGATCCATTCTAATAGTTGAGAAACTTCAAAGTAAAATGCATGGCCTCAACAAGAGCAAGCATTGATAATGATGGGAGATTTGTTGGTGGAGATGGCTAATATCTTTTGACGAATGCTTATCGAAGAAGGAAGGAGAAAAGTTGTACCGAGGAAGAAAAACATATGGTAATGATGTAAAAGTAGTGGTAGAAAATAAAGGGATATTCTAATAAAATATGTCATCGGTTGAAATGTCTATATGTTTGGCAATGAAATCAATACATTTATATTCATTTTTAGTTTGAGAGTACAGAAAGAAGGTACAAGTGACACTGGAAAACGTGTGAAAACATGAATATAGCAAAGATAATCAAACAATGGTAGTGTAAGAGAGAAAAAAATAGAAATTGGAAGAAAGATTATTTATTGATGATTGCTTGTTGAGAAGATTAGATGGTGGAAAACTAATAAGGAGAATACAACAAAGACTACTTTTTCTACAAATTGCGGGGAACGATCACATTAAATACGAGCGCCCTAATGATGATTTTTATTTTCTACAACCCTATTTTATTAAAAGCAATATAGACACATGGTTTGATGAAAATGCCACTTTTAGAGCCAAAATTATGAAATTGTATCTGCATATATAGTGAAAAATTATTAACACACAATTTTTTTGTTGAAGAAAAAAAACTTTAATTTCTTTATAAAACTTGAGAAAAATCTCATGTCAGGCGGCTTCTCACTGGCCTTTAAATTAAAAATATCCAAATGAGATGAGTGATTATTTGTAAAGATAATGAAACAGTGAAACTTGAGTGAGCTAGAAGCTCGAACTCTGCCCCGATTAGTTCTGCCCTACTCAGACTTTCAAATTAGTCTATCTTTATCATTATTCCTTAAGATAATTACAATCAAGCACTTTAACAAAAAAAAAACACTTGTAAAAGCTTCTTAAGTCGTCTCTTCCTCAAGAGGTGTTGTTATTGCCTCTAATGGTACATCTTGGGACTAATGAGGTATATAAAGGATTTATCATAAATATGGGAATATAATACATAAGATATAAAAGGAGTAAGCTCTTAAGAAATATAGAAAATGATTTTTTTTTTTTGGAATAGTAGGATACATGCAGGCATTATGGTTGCATGATATGTGAATATAACAAAGTTACTGACAAAAATTTCATAGGGCAGTTTCTTTATCTAGCCAAGAGGTCTGAAGTGTAAAAGAACAAAAATTAAACAATGCATGAATTCATGAAGAGATTTATGAAAGCATACCTGATCCACTTAGACCCGTGATCCATATGACACAACCTTTTTGCTTCAATAACTTCTGCCGTTCATGCTTTCCAACTAGGCATTCATGCCATGAAATGTTTGTTGAATTCCCAACATTTGAAAGCACCAAAGTGTTTCTTTCTACATAATCGAAGAAGAGGAACATTTAGAACATAAAATGTAAATATCAGCCACAAAATTCTTCAATCCCTGCCAGACTTCAAAATAAAAGCAAAAACCCTGAAATCATTTGCAAGGTACTAAGAATTCATAGCTCCCATAATTAAAACAATAATTTCAATAAAATTTATGGGCATTTAAATACATAATTCACAATTCTTAGGAATAACTTTCCTATTTTCAACATAGCACTCAAATCTCTAATATCACATAAAAAATAGCATTATTACCACCTTTTATAAGTAAAATACATATTTTCGTGCATAGGCTCAAAGCTCCAAAGTATTATATATGAAAATATGAAAGTTTAGGTGCGAGATATCTAAAAATGAAAAAAGGAAAAAAAAAAAATTTGTAATCATATCAGATATTTTGAAGACAATTCAGTCAGATATCATAATTTTTTATTCAAAATTAAAATAGTAATTTTACTTGAAGTTCTGATTTCTGAGTTTAATACCTTGAGCAACACTCAACAGGAACAAATAGAAAATAATATTCATAAAGCCAACCCAAAATAGTTTAGGTGAGACTAATGATGGTGTTGATTATTTTGTAGGTTGTTTCAAAACATAACAATGGGTTAAAGGTTCATTTTGTTGGTGTGATTCAAGATTTTCAATTGAATTTTGCAATTATTTGGTGCGGTGGTTGTCTGCCAAGCAGTTGTCATAATCAAAGAAATTAACTGTTCATTTTAGAGCAATTTTAATTTTTTTAAGGCATATTTTTGTTGTCTTAAAAAGAAAAAATTACTTTTTTAGGTAGTTAAAATGCAGAGCTCGTGCAGTTAGATGGAATCTTAAGAATTGGTTTTCTAATAGAAGAATAAAAGAGAATGAGAGGAAGTACCACAGTCTTTCTCTCTTTTATATATATAGAAGAAATTTAATTTACATATTGTGTGTTGTGAAAAACGACAGCAATAAAGTGAAAAATGGAACGAGAAAAATTGCACGTAAAGAAAAACACCAGAGCGACACACAGTTTTACGTGGTTTGGCAAATTTGACTACGTCCACGAAGCTGCAGAGGATTTTACTACTTCGAGGAATTACACTCGACGTTTACAAGAAAATCTCTATTTTCTTCTCTTCTCTCATTTCCTCTCTCTCTTCCTCTCTTTCTCTTAGCTCTCAAGATGACTTAGTGTGACCTTGTTTGGTTTTACATCTCTTTCAAGCTAAAATATGATATTTATAGAAACCATGAGAGCGGTAGGTGGGAGGTAGGTGGGTGGTAGGTGGAACGAGGTAGGTGAGCGGTAGGTGGGTGCGGTAGGTGAGATACTTAATTATGAAACTAATTAAATTCGATGGACCGGGTCTCCACATTACCCAACAACTGTGCCCCTCAAACATCGCCAAATTATCAGTAGATCAATCGAGATTTTTTTTTTTTTTCATGAATTGGTTCATGCCTTTCAAAAGTTAATCCCCTTTTATCATTTAGAAATAAAAGAAACACGCAGAGATCCTAAATTTGCTTCACTTCTTCCTCTATGATCCACCAATCGACCATGGTTTCATCAAGAAAATCCATCCTTCAAGAATATCCAAGCATCAGAGTTAATCACATATCAAACCAAGCAGATCCAATTAACGGATACTACCTTGTTTCGATCGAATTAAATGATGAGAAACGAAATGAAATCCTAACAATTTTATGGTCGATTATCACTCCTCAACCCCTGGATTTAAGCTTTTTCAACACTTTCATTCCATTTCACTCGAATTCCTAGCATCCAAACTCAACCAAGAAACACCCAAATCATCAAGAGAAAAAAAACACCCACAACCCAAATCAATCATAATATCAAAATTCAGAATCAAGAAAGCACGGCAAAAATCCTATTCACGTCACAATCACAAAATAAAAGCACATTTACCCAGAGCAGAGCAGTCGCACTTGCCATTCGCCTCAATAGACTCCCCACTCCGGACGCGAAATCCATCAGCAGCCATCTTAACTCCACCGGCACTCCGCCTTCTCCTCACCGGAGAACACACAAATCCTATCTTCTCTCTTCCCGGCCGCACAATCGGTGGCCCGAGAAACAAAGAAGACATCGGCTCAACAATCTCAGCAAAACAGAAAACAGCATGCAATGCAAGGGAGAGCGACACAGCCTAGGAATTACTATTTATAGAAGGAAGACATGGCGGAGGAATACGGAGAAACAGCAAGCGGGCAGCAGAGATTTGCGGGTACCGGATCTAGGGATCCATTTGAATGATTCTCGCGAGGTGTTGTAGGAAGAAAGCGGGAAGAAGACGGCTGATTCATCGAATGTATACAGTAATGGCGGGCTCGATGATCCGAAGAGCTGCAGGCGGAGTGAGATTTGAATTTCGAGGAAGACTAATAATAATAAATATTTAAATATTTATATATTTCAGGTTCGTATAAATTTATTTTTTTGGAATATAATATTTTGTCTGGAAGGTGTGAATGAGGCCGGTATTCTGTCCGAATTCACTGGCTGCCTTGTCAAGTTCAAACAGTTCGGTATGACTAATGAAGAAGATGGCCAGTACCCGCAAAAAATAATTCGTCTGGTATATATATATATATATATATATATGTGAGTGTGTGTGTGTATATATATATAGGTGAAATACCCTTATATAAAGGATGAAGACATAAATTGAGTCTTCCTTAGAGGTGTAAGTAAGCTAAGTCGAGTCGTGAGCCGGTTTGGGCTCTTCAATAAATGGCACGTGAACTGAGCTCAATGAACTAACAAGTCATGCTCAAGGGTGAGGAGTCTCATTTAAAAAATAATTAATAAAAAATATACTCAAAATATATTAAATTTAAGAAAAATTAAAAAAACATATATTTTACATTTTATATCAAGTAATTTATTATTAGTTGTCTCTTAACTGCCCGTTCAATTAATCCTTTAATAATAATACTAGTTTAAAAAAAAATCTCTTTCATACTAAACAAGCCGTTTTGAATTTGTAGATTAAGCTTTAGCTCTATTTCAAACTTAATTAAATAATCAAACTCGACTCATTTACTTGCTTCTCTCTAACCCTCCATTTCCTTCTCTAAAACTAGCTTTACCATTAAGATACAAATCGATGGATAAAACAAGATTCATTACAAAACTTACATTAGTTGTTGGAATTAAATTAAAGATAATATATAATTTGACCTATGAAATGACAATGTCAAAACAATCCTCCTTTTAAGTCCCAAGGTTTATAGAATTATCAAAATAGTACCTAGACTCTTTAAATTGACGCTAAAATAGTCCACATCAATAATTATTAAAACTCAATTTTAAAATAATCAAAATTTATTTTGACACTTCTATAAACCCTGAGACTAAACTCGTCTGATGTAAATAGTAAAAGACTATTTTGACACTTCACTCTTTATAAAATGGATTAACACATCAATTTAATTATATAGTAATTTATATGATAAAATAAGCAATTATAAGTGAAAATAATGTAAAAAAAAGCAAAAATTCAGGGTTAGATATGCAAAAACATAAGAATCTAAAACTCAGCATATGTGAGCATTTCTCGCATCATGTAACAGAAAAAATGACATTGCAAATACAACATTTCTGTCAACTGTCTCAGAATACCTAAAAAAACTAACACAAAACCAAACCACATCTGTGGAGAATATTTTGTTATTATTGTCAAAAATAAAATTTTGAATTTCAACCTTTTCACAGTTGATCAATCAAGGCTTGAGTGCTAGTGCAAGTCCAAACTTTGGGGTCCTATCCAAAGCCTTGGTTTCAAACTCACCAGAAATTGTGAGGATGGATTTGGGCTTCACCTCATGTTGTAGAAGGGCTCCGAGCTTGCCAGAGTTGTTCAGTCGAGCCTTCACGGTGGTCTGAGGGTCGACCGCATACGCTCCTCCGACGGTGAAGGTGTTTTCATTGGTGGAAAACTTTCTGTTGATCTCCGCAACGACAGAGCTCCTCTGCTTCTCGTCCAGGTGATAGACATATGACGCTCGAAGCGTGTCGCCCTTGTCAGCCCTACGTGGACAAGCATCATAATGTAAGAATTTCTCTGTTTTTGTGATTTAAAGCAAGGAAAATTTGCATGCATGCAGCACAATTCTAATGTATTTACATTATAACAGTTTGGTGTCATAAACCTATGCATGACGAAAATATGTATTTCAGTTGTTAAAAGTTAAAATGGTGGTATTATTTATGTGATGTTATAATTTTGAATGTTATAAATGTAAATATGAAAGTTTCAAGTGTTAAATATGTAAATAAATAAGAATTAGTTGCTATGTATGTAAACAAACTTACAAAATGACAGAAACATCATGTTCTGGTTTTTTGAGGCCAACTCCAGCATTGTATTTGGTAAAAATTCCTGAAGAAGTATCAAAACCAGCTTCGGCGCCAAACACGACGCCATGAGCGCCAAAAGAAGCAGAAAGATCAACCACTGGGGTTTGCTTCAAAGCCACGACCGAAGAGAAAGCAGCATGGTCATGGAAATATTGAAACTCCATCTGCAAAAGGAGAAAATTTACAAATTTTCTTTATAATTCTAAGAGAAAATGTGTCAAAATGGTCCCATTAACTCTACGCAATGGGTCATTTTAGTTATAGGCAGTGTTTGGTTGTGTCCTGGATTCACGTTAAGTAGGATTTAGTAAATCAAATAAATTCGAATTTAACAAATTCATATTTGATGGAAAAACACTCAGTAGCCAAATCCTTTAAATCCGTCAGTGAATCCGATTTAATAAATATGGATTTCGTCGAAAAATTCGCGAAACCGGGGAATATTCCATTTAACGGAGCGTAGGATTTACATTTCGTATTTTTAGTGCTTGGCTGGATTTATGTTAAATCCATGCGTAAATCCAGTTAAAAGTATGCTACCAAACACCCCTTTAGTTTACAAAAGTGTCAATTTATTCCCCAAACTCTTTCAATATAGGTTGAAATAGTCCCCAGCAAGGACCATTTTAGCACCCAAGAAAAGAGTGGGATTAATTTAGCAATTTTATAAACTTTGTGATTAAAATGGCAACATGCAAATAGTTAGGGGACTATTTTTGGCAATTTACTCATATTTATAAAGTTAAAATGTAAAAAAATCACTCATTACATGCACTACCTTTCCAGCGTTGCGGTCAGGCAGCTTGAATGTAGCGATAGTCTTTGTGTATGGCAGAACGTCCAAGACTGTGAAGGTGGTTGTGATCTGGGTGCATTATATAAAAAGGAAAAATTGTAAGTAAATAAAATTCTCAAATCAGAGTTGCAGCTCTCTATATTTTTTAAGAAAGTTAGACCGAACAAAAATGATAGGTATTACTCACATTTGAATCTGTGTCAATTTTGACATCAACAAGGGTATTTTTATAATTGTACTGTGTAGAAACGTCAAGGGCATAGAGTCCCCCCTTCTTAACAGCACCAGAAGTGAGAGCCTGAGAAAAAGGATAAGTTTAAGCTCATTTAGGCTAGCAACATTGATTTCAACCAGAAAAATAATGAAATGTAATGCAGAATGATGTCACCACCAAAAAAATCCAGAAAAGAAAATCAAATTTATAGTAGGGGGGAAATTGATATAAAGAAGTATCGTGTGATGTAAAATATAATATTAGGAATGCACAAAAATTAATTGAAAATTATCTCCTAGACAGCAGGATACCGTGAAGTATGAAAGATGTCATCGTCATCATTAGCCAAGTATTTGATATTAAGTTTATAAATCTTCATTCTCCATTATTTCTTGTTAATATTGCATTAGTTATTGAATTTATTTTTCAGAAAGCATTTAGGCAAATCTATGAGCATCAACTTTCAATCTCCCTTTTTTCTTCCTCCTTGGACATTTTTTTTACCACTCTAATTTTCGCTTTGATTTGTTCAATGCATGCCACTCCCATCGTCCATAAAATAAAAAATTTCTCAAAATATCATTCATACGTTTACCACAAATCATTATTCACATAATCATTTTAGGGGATTTACAAACATAGCACTAAAAACTATTAAGATTTACATAATTAACACCTAAATTTTACTGTTTACAAATAAAACTCAATACATATTTAACACCTAGTCGCTGACAGCGAGGGAGATGTTGTCAGCAACAAAAGATACAAGTGAATAAGAAGATGAGGGTGTTGACAAAGGCTAGAAAAATCAAAGAAAGAGGCAATGAAAGTGATGCATCACAGATCCCATCACTATTTCCGACGAGATCCCTTCGCTGTTTTCACATCTCTTCTTTGTTGGTGGAGGCTTCGTCCCGGCAGGAACAAAGAGGAGCGATGGTTGAAAGCCTTCCTAATGAGATCTCGCCGCGACTTCCCCATGCCCAATGAGATTCGTAAACTTCCTCTTCATTGTCAAAGGTTTTGTTAACTCTATTAACGAAATGCTAAATTATGTAAATAGTGAAATTTAAGTATCAAATATGTTAATCAAATAGTTTTGAATGCTATATATGCAAACCCCCTAATCATTTTTTTAGAAACTAAAATGCCATATCAATTGAATTAATTACAATCCAACTAGCAGATTCATAACATAACAATCGTAATTTTAGTTTTATAATTTACCTTTAAATCTCTATAATGTCTTTTAACATTATCAAGGCACTTATCCATTTTAACCACTAAAATTTACTTTCCAGCCTTTCTCCTTTTTCCTCCACTTCGGCGACTTTCTTTGTATGCCAAGATCTCACTGATCACACAAAGGAGACAGAATAATGTGAAGTATATAATTTAAAGTTGCCAAATTTTTTTACAATTAGGACTTCAACATTGCATAAACTATATAATTGCGTATTTGATTTTTATCAAGCAATTTCTATTATGCGAGAATCGTGCTAATGAAATTCTCTATTTTTGAACTCTGATGTTTAGCAAATTTTATGAGTAATTCAGTAGATGATTTTTCCCACGTGTTTTTTTCGCATTTTGGGCTTTATCCAAATCCCCGTTTCAATTTAAATCAGCTGTTTTTTATTTTACTATAATTTTATGAAGTCTGCAACACTACAAATACCTCCATTTTCAAGGCGTAAGAACGCTTCCCGTGTAAAAAATGCATTTTTTTCTCCTTTTTTCTTTATTCTAAAAAAAAAACAACTTATGAGCTTGACTTTTCCACTCCCTTTCCCTCTCTTAGTTTTCTACTTTTCAGAAATTAAATATTTGGAAGTTAAAAAGTTTTTAAATTCTATAAAAAAAAATCTTATTATGTAATTTTGGAAGCTGAAATTTGAATACAAAAAATCTCTAATTTTGTGATTGATTGTTGCACTTAGTACTTAGGATCCTCATGCGAGTGATTGAAAGCAAGGTTGGTAATCCAATCATAGGTTTGATCCACTTGGTATCATCACCAATCTTTATTATTATTGTAGCTTTATTTTCCTATTTCAGCTGGAAACCATTTTTTTTTATCACAAACAACACAACTTTGTTGTTGTTAATTTCTCAACTCCATCCAAAATTTGTCTTGTTAATTATAAACTTGTCGTCTTTGTTATTTTTTCTGTAATTTTAACATTCTTCCTTATGTTTGCATCAATTTCATTGTTTTGTTATGTTTGGTTTGCTGGATCAATAAAAAAATCTAATTAAACCACTATTTATTTAATTTGAGCGTTATTTAGAACATTATATTGATGTCCTTATAATATAGTTTATAATTCTACAACTTTCTTTGGTTCTCATACTTAATCATAACCTCTAAAGGAACTTAGTACCAAACCTTAAATTGATGGCAACTAGATTTTACAAGTAATTCATATGTTTCACAAATTGGAAATCAATTTATTTTAGTAATTGACTTCATATCAGCTGCATTCATTTAGTTTTAACACGTTTAGTGATACATACACTTACAAAGCATCCATTGGATTGGATTCTCTCACCTGTCAAATATCAGAGCCCCCAAAATTTACACATTAGAAAAACACATAATTTAGTGCATTATCTCATTAAGTCATGCCTAAATCAAGCTCGGCTCGTCTGTTAAAAATGCAAGCTCAAGCTCAAATGGAAAGCTCAAGCTCGGCTCACAATGATTACAACAGGCTCGTGAGTAAGCTGATGAGCTCGAGTCTAAAATCAAATTACCATTGGAGCTCACAAAAGAAGGCCTAGAAAAGCTTGAACTTGAGCTCTTTTAATAAGCAAGCTTGAGTATGAGCTCAAGCTCCAGCTTGTGGCTCCATTAGCTCAACTCGTGACCTTTTTAACTAGTCGAGCTCGAGCCGGCTCCGTTCAAACCCCTAGGAGAAGTGGTCTCCCATTTCTAGGTCGCATGTCTAACCATCAATGCAATGAAGCTTTATTTCAGCTTCATCGGTGGCACATTGACCACAACCATTCATGCAGAGTTTGAAAATCATGGAGGCAGGTCAGTTTAGTCATCCACCTCAGAATATTAAAGCAGTCTTCATTACCAAAAGAGAGTTGAAGTCACCAATAACAGCATATATAGTAGCATGAACAAGATTTGTAGATCCAGAAGAAATAACAACTGTGACTAATAAATTAAAATCGCACCAAAATTCTTATAAATCAAATTACCAAATAAATTTGTTCACTAATACAACAACGACAGCACAAAGCCTTTATCCCACTAAGTGAAGTCAGCTACATGAACCCTTTTTTCTCCATCGTGTCATATTTTCATTTAATTCAAAAAAATTAAGATCATTTTTTATACAATATGCCCAAGTCTTATGGATGTCTACATTGGAGTCTAAAGGACTTCGAGTAAAACTAAAACTGAATACATTGAATGTAATTTTAGTAGCAGTAGCTCTAGCGACAGTTGTAACTATGGGTGATCAAATTATTAAAAGATGTGAATGCTTTAAATATCTTGGGTCTTTTATTCAAAGTGATGGTGATATGGATGGGGATGATATTAGTAGAATTCAAGTTAGTTGGTTGAAGTGGAGGAATGCTTCAGGCCTATAGTGTGATAGAAAAGTACAGCTTAGATTGAAAGGAGAATTTTATAAGATGATGGTGAGACCTACAATGCTCTATGGCACTGAATGTTGGTCTTTAAAAGAGAAGCATAAAACTAAGTTAAGTGTTGCCGAGATGAGAATGCTTAGGTGGATGAGTGGCTTTACACAGAGACAAAATGTGAAATGAATATATCCGTGATAGGGTTGTTGTAGCTCCAGTGGAGGACAAAATTAGAGCGAGTCGTCTTAGATGGCTAGGTCACATCAACCGTCGATCATCTGATGATCTGATTAGGAGAGTAGATGTTTTATATTCAACTTAAGTTAAAAAAGGCGGAAGTAGACCTAGAAAAACTTGGGTATTGTATAAAAAATGATCTTAATTTATTAGAATTAAATGAAAATATGATACTCAATAGGACACAATAATATGATTTAAATGAAAATATGATACTCAATAGGACACAATGGAGAAAAAATGATTCATGTAGCCGACCCCATTTAGTGGGAAAAAGTTATGTTGTTGTTGTTGTTGTTGTATGCCCAAGTTGTTGGCTTGCTAAACTCTTTAATATTATTTTAAAAACTAAAATTATTCCCGAGAAGTGGAGAGAGAGTATTTTGGTCCATATTTTTAAGAATAAAGGGGATGCACAAGAGTATACAAATTATAGAGGAATTAAGCTGATGTGTCATACTTTAAAATTATGGGACAACGTAGTTGAACATAGATTAAGACGTATTACAAAAACTTCTCATAATCAGTTTGAATTTATGTCGGGCAAGTCTACTATTGATGTTATACATTTATTGAGATGTTTAATGGAGAAATATAGAGATAATAAAGAGGATCTGCATATTGTTTCTTTTAATTTAGAAAAAACTTACAATAAAGTTTGAAGAGAAATCCTTTCGAGAGTTCTAGAAAATAACAGTTTTAATATGACTTATATCCAAGTCATTAAAGATATGTATATTAGAGCTTTTACTCGCTAATCAGTTTGAATTTATGTCGGGCAAGTCTACTATTGATGTTATACATTTATTGAGATGTTTAATGGAGAAATATAGAGATAATAAAGAGGATCTGCATATTGTTTCTTTTAATTTAGAAAAAACTTACAATAAAGTTTGAAGAGAAATCCTTTCGAGAGTTCTAGAAAATAACAGTTTTAGAAGAAATGTGTTGATATGACTTATATTCAAGTCATTAAAGATATGTATACTAGAGTTGTTACTAAGGAGGATTGACCCAATATTTTCCTATTTCAGTTTTATTACATCAGGGATCGGCTTTAAGCACATATCTTTTTGCTTTAGTTATGGATGCCTTTAGTTATGGTTGCTTTAGTTATGGATGCTCTTACTGGACATGTACAAGAGGATGTACCTTGGTGTATGCTTTTTGCTGATATTCTTCTTATGGATAAGACTAGAGAAAGAGTTCAGAAAAAACTTGAATTATGAAGGTTTACATTG